TTTGTACTTGAGGGATATGAAGGACCCGACCCAGATCAAGCCCAAATCACAAATGATAGGGTCTAGATCATAGATGCAAACTAACAAAGACTCAATCACAATTCTAATTGGGTCAAACCCACCTTCCTAAGAGACCTAACCCATCATCAACGAATGTGGGAATCTCCATCTAAGGAGAGGGAATCTATGGGGGACACATGTATTGAGGGCACAACACTAGTCTCGCGAGATCATCTTGCCCGTTACGAGATAATGCGATCTTCAAGGAATTACCTCGTTATCACCTCACCCGTTACAAGGATAAGGTGAGCTTCACGAAATCAGTTACGAGGATGACGCCTCAATCAGAGCCCCTCAGAGCAAACTTCATTTGCCTATAAATTGTAAGCCCGACCTATACATGCAGGGCATCACTCACATCTAAGCACTCTACACTCCTTGAGCAATAAAATAGGCCACCGTAGCTCTTCATAGTGGAGTAGCTCACCCTAAATGAACCACTTTATTTGTGTTTACTTGTGTTAAGTCTCCTTCTTAATTACTGCATTAAATACTTGGCAGGTGGTGCACAACACACATTTAGTGTATCATCAGGATATATAATGCTAATTAGATATTCGATACTAAAGATTCAAAATCCACGAGTGGATGTCTTTACCTTGGGAAGTGCAACTGTGTCTTGAAAATCCTCAAAGAAAATATGTATTGCTAGATCTACAATGAAATCTGAATTCATTGGCTTAGATAAAGCTTGAGAAGAAGCAGAATGACTTCTCAACTTCTTAGAGGATAATCCAAAATGGCCAAAGTTTGTCCCAGTAGTATGTATACATTGTGATAGCTAATCTACGATTGGAAAGACACAAATTATATGTATAACGATAAGTATTGACACATACATTGTAGACATATTACTGTTAGACAGTTGCTCTCAAATGGTAATATATCTAGTGACTATGTGAAGTCAAAAGATAATATCGTGAATCCACTTATAAAAAGTTTGACTAGAGAGTAAGTAAAAAGTTCAACAAGAGGAATGAACTTAAAGCCTATTACTCAACCAAGATTCACCATAATGGAAATCCAACCTAGTTGATGGAAGATTTCAAAATCTAGGTTCAAAGGGACAACCAAATTATATGTAACTCAGAGATGCACTAAGAAGGTTTTCAACTCATTCTCATTCCTATGATGAGACAGTGCATATCTGACGTGAGAACCAGAGTAAGTAATGCTTTTAATGATTTGTGTGACTTGAAAAAGTCCAAGTAAGGTATAACAAGATACTCTTAATCAGAAATCACCTATGTGAATAAGAAAGGGTTGCTTCTATGAGAATCGTAGGCCAATTCTCTAAATTACTCATGAAATCAGTGGTGTTTAAGGCTAAAATGAATACAAATACAAGAACCAACTGTGTCTGAAGGAAAATTGTTTGAATTCTATTTTCTTGGTTTACACTAACTCTTGACAGTTCAAAGACATCAAGTCCATTAATTAGCCAAGCAAATCCAATAGTCTTTCATTAAGAAAATTTCAAGGCCACTAGACTACTTATCCTGATACAATAACTTTTCAACTGTACTTCAACTAATATATGCATGTTCATATATCGAATTTTCATTCATGTGGGGGATTGTTGAAAAAAATGGTATTATGAACAAGTTATTTGAAGCTTAAATAAAAGTTGGATCCATACTTCAAAACTGGTGGACCATGTTTAAACGTGTTCTTCTCCGTGAGAAGATCAACTTGGTATATTTATTTGTTCAAAACCATTAAGTATTTAATGAAAAATTGTGTCTCAAAGTGACCCACTTGAATGGATGAAAGGAACTAAGAATGATATGGTGTAGTATAATAACCCTTGTCTCACATTGGAAAGAAAAAACAAAACCTTGTGAGTTAATATGCTCTCAATTAGCTTCTTGGGTTGGGCCCTAAGGGATAGCACACTTTTGTGAGTAGAGCAAGCACCATAAATGTGCGCTGACTGCGCTCTCCTTGCCTTGCCACTACCCCACTTGACTTGACCGGGCTGGGCCGAGCTAAGGCTTAGGTCAACAAAGATCTTATATTTTTGTTGAAAATTTATTTAGTGCGGTGCAGGTTATGGGTTAAATCAAACGGATTTTTAGAAGCCATACCTCTTGGGGAATTGGTTTATCGTTAGAACTGATCAAAGGAGTTTGAAATATTTGTGGGATCAAACTATAACCACAGCGGCTCAACAACGGTGGCTGGTGAAATTAATGGGCTACGACTTCTTGATTGAATACAAGCGCGGAATTGAAAATGTAGCAGCAGACGCGCTATCAAGGAGGATTGATAGTGGAGAAATATTGGCAATTTCTCGTTCTATGCCACAATGGTTGGAACCAATCAAGGAAGAAAATCAACAAGAACCAGATTTACAACGTCTGATTCAGCGGGTTCAAGATGATGAGGCAATCTGTCCATGGGGATATCGTGAGGGCATCCTTTTCTATAAAGATCTTATTTTTCTAAGAGAAGGATCCCAACTCATTCCTACAATAATCTCTGAGTTTCACTCGAGCACTCATGCAAGGTATCATAAGACTCTTCATCGAATTCGAGCTGTCTTTTACTGGAAGGGAATGAGGCACCAAGTCTAGTAGAACATCAAACAATGTGATACATTTCCTTCCAGTAAAAGACAGCTTACATTCATCAACCATTGCCTATTCCTACACAGATTTGGGTAGACATTTCCATGGATTTCATTGACGGATTGCCTAACTCGAATGGAAAAACGACTATATTTGTGGTCATTGATCGACTATAAAAGTATGCCCATTTTATACCGGTTTCTCATCCTTATACTGCTACAAGCATAGCACAGGTCTTCTTCGATTAGATATTTAAATTACATGGTATGCCGCAGTCCATTGTTTGCAATCGAGACCCCACGTTTACAAGTGTCTTCTGGAGGGAGTTATTTAGATTAAATGGAACTAAATTCAATTTTAGTTCATCATACCATCCACAGACAGACGGACAAACGAAGGTGGTTAATCGTACAGTTGAAATGTATCTCCGATGTTTTACAAGCTCCAAGCCCAGAGATTGGGTACGATGGATTCCTTGGGTGGAATTTAGCTACAAAGTCAGCTTACATTCATCAACCAAAAAAACTCCGTTCGAAATTGTGTATGGTCGTTTACCACCCACTCTACTCTCCTATGTTCCAGGCACTACAAATGTGGAGGCAGTCGATAAAATTTTAGCGGAACATGATCAGATTTTAAGGGAGTTACAAGATTGGTTGAAGGAATCTCAAAATAGAATGAAAAGAATTTATGATCAGCACCATCAAGACAGAGAATTTCAGGTGGGAGATTGGGTTTACTTAAGGCTCCAACCATATCGACAATCTTCTCTGGCACTTCGGAGAAACCAAAAGTTATCACCTAAGTTCTATGGACCTTTCCAAATCATTGAGAAAATAGGGCCTGTCGCATATAAGCTGGACTTACCAATTGGCTCAAGGATTCATCCAGTGTTCCACGTGTCGGCTCTGAAGAAAAAGCTAGGAGAAGGCTCATCTACATCAGCAACGCTTCCATCTGTGAATGAAGAAAGCCAATCCTCAATTCCACTCCCACAGGCTGTTCTGGATCGAAGAATTCGTAAGCGACGACTTGAAGTATTAATCCATTGGCAAGGTCTATCCCCAGCAGAGGCAACATGCGAAGATTTAGAAGACATTAAGTTTCGGTTCCCAACATTTGCCCATGAGGACAAGGGCATTTTTTAGGGAGGAGGAGCTGTGAAGTGCAACTGGAGTTGAAGGAGTCAAATGGGTTACTGGATTAGATCTAGTCCTTAGCTGTTAACTTAGTCTTCCTTTTTAATAGGTAGTAGTTGATATTTTATAGGAGTAGATTGTTGCTGTTAGTCTGTTATAACTTGCAGATGCTAGATGCTTGTTCTTAGCTATATTCTGTTATAGGCACTTATAAATAAGGCTCTGTCATTGAATAAAAGGCATCACAAATTTTTCCAATATCTTTATCTGTTAGCTTTAACTTGGAGGTTTCCTGGATTCCTTCGAAGCAAATCAGTACATTACCCAAATTCCCTGTTTAGCTCATTCTCTTGTTCTTTCTGTCCAAAATAGGGAAGTTCAAGGGAAAGAATTCGCTGCTTCCTAGTCCACCATCTGCTATTCGACCCAACACTCCGTCAGCTACGTCATCACGTAACATTATACTAGAACTTCGTAGAAATACTAAAAGAAAAATTTATCTGTATCCAACATTTTACTTGATTCAGGAAAGTCCTCTTGCCTCGCGCCTAAAGCCCCCAATCCTATGAAACCTCAGTTACTTGATGAGCCTTTCGCCTTAAATGACGTAGCCCCCGACATCCTACTTTTACAAAGAAGTGTTTTTTTTTTTAATTTTTATCTCGAAATGGTAATCTCTCTCTCTCTCTCTCTCTCTCTCTCTCTCTCATGCCAACTCCAAAAGCGAAGGTGAGTATTGTTTCATCGCAGACAACGGGGAATTAGAAAACTGGGTTATTTAGTATTGCTACATCAAAATTAAAGGATAGCACAAGCACGAACAGTTAAGAAGCATCAGAGGCTAACAGAATCATTTGGCAATCTGGCAAAAATTGGGCATCAACATGGTATCTGCAAACTTATTCATCTTGTTCTTTTCAGTAAAGAACTTCCTCATTATAAGCAATCTTTTTCTGGAGTGTTGAGGTTGGGGTTCCAAATCATGCGGATTCATAAACGTACAGACAAGATCATACACAACCTGGATTTTCTTAGCAAATCACACTTTACCCTATGAACTATTGAGTTTCTCACATTGTTCCTTTAATTACTTCAATTGGGTCCACATTACCCCAATATCAAGCATTCAATATGTTTTGGGTGGGAAATCCCCAAATGTGTAATAAAATATGTGATTTTATTGTCTACATCGGCGCCGTGTGAAACTAAGAACTATAATTAGAGGTGCAATGTGAGAAACAAGACAACTGAGGTGGCAATGTTAACCAATAGCTATAGTTGGAGGTACAATGCTAAAAACATGATGGTTAAAGTGGCAATGTGACAAATGTAACATAGTTAAGGGGTCAAAGTATAATTTACCTTTTCTTTGTTGGAAGTTCTACATAAGTTGGATTTCAACCATTAAGTTCCAACCATTAATCATGACACACCCCGACAGCTATGTCATCTCCCATTTCCAACTGACAAGCATTAATTTTCCAATGGCTTAACCATATCATAGGCTTATCATCATCCGGAAGTGCTATAATTGTTGGGTTATAGCTCCAATTCAAGCCATTTGTCTTGTTACTGATTCCAATCCCAGAAGGTTTGCCTCTTGAATAGACAGCGCATATATTCAAGCCACAGATGGGAATCTTGAGAACCGCTTTTTTTTATTATTCCTGAACCATTCTGGAACTTGACTCCCTGGAAGAAATATACTGAATATGCCATATTCATACAGTCCCTGTGCCCATCAAAATCATTATATTAATATTCGCAATGGAGACAGAGAGACAGAGAGAGATTGTACCTGTAGGGGATAATACTTGATTACTCTAGTCACCTATTAAATAATTCCACCTCGAGGCCCTCCATGGATTCCAACTCGACCAAGCCCAAATTCTCGAGTATTCCTTTGCAAACATTTCCAATGGGTTCTAACTTGAATAATCCTTGAACCTCCACAAGCTTCTTACAATCCGTAACAGCCAATTCTTGAAAAGTGAATTGGTTTGGGTGAAGATTTACCATTTCCATTGTCTTGCATCCCAGTATAGTAAGATACCTGAAGCTCGAGAGCTTTGGAATTGATTGGAGCTTTGTGCATCCATTTAAAAAAAGTGACTCGAGCATAGTAAGACCTATTATACTCTCTGGTAGGGAAGAAATAGGATTTTTGTCAAGACTTAAAGTCTCCAATGATGATAGGATAGCAAGATCCTCTGGTAGGGTACAAATTGAATTCTCTCTAAGGTCTAAAACCCGCAATAATGGCATGCTACTAAGAGTCATAGCAATAGCATGATCATATATATTGCATCCCACAAGGCTTAACACTGTTAAAGATTTTGGGAAAAAAGGCAATGAAAATTCTGGACATTTTGCCAGTTTTGATTTCCAACGCAAAATTGCATACCACAATTTGACCTTAACAGCAGTCGAAGGTGATTGATTTATCCCATTTGCAAGGAGGACTCTCAAAGATTCCATGTTCCTCAACTCTGTAGGCAACTCTTTCAGCATGAAGCAACCAGAGAGATCAAGTTCTTCAGCGGATTTTAGTTGGCAAATTTTCTGTGGAAGCTGTCTAATATTTCTGCAATTACTTAAGAGTCAAGATAACAAGGCTCCTTAATTCTCCAATAGATTCATGGACCTTCACCAAATTTATGCAATCTTCAAGACTTAGTCTCTCTAGATTAGGGACACCTGTGAAGTCAGGGGTCTTGGTTAGGCAGTGGGAATGACTGAGATTCAAGATTCTCAATGATCCCAGTGGCTGTGAACAAAAAAAAAAAAAGGAAGACATTAGCTCCAATAGCTATGTCCATCACTAAAAAAATAAGGGAAAGAATATGAAACACATATTATACCATAGTTCCCTTCCAAACTTGCTCCAAGTTGCTATAGGGCATTTCAAGAACAACTAGGCTCTCTAGAAGAAAATCACCAGGTATATATCTTAGAGGGAAACCATGCCAAAGTAACCATACTAACTTCTTAGGAAATTTTTTGTAACCTCCAGTCAGCCGTACATGATGGAGCTGCAGCAGTCGTAATTTGTGCATATGTGAAAATGCAGAAGTTTGTAAGACTGCTTCATCTGATTTTGCAGAGGCACAGGGGAACCAAGAGAAGTCAAGACGACGTCGCCTGAGTGGATTCCCATTGTAAACAGTTGATATGTCAAGAAAAACTTCTGAATGCCCTCTTTTTCTAGTGCTTGGACTGAAGAATGTCAAAGCTGGCTTATCTTCTTTTGGCTCAGGCAAGTTGAGGATGAGGCCTTCAATAGTTTACGTACCCTAGTAAAAAGGAAAAGATTAAGCACAGCTAAACCAAAACATACATATAGAAATGAGAAGCATAAGCCTTACAGTGTTTTCTCTCAATACATTTAGGACATCCTCATGATTCCAAAGTCTGCTGCGTTTTCCTGGTTCAGTTGATGATTCTTGGCGAATAATCTCTCTTCCCATGTCTTGAATCAATTGATGCATCTCGAGCTTGTTATTTTCGTTGATTGACAAGAGAAATCTATCACTGAGATTTTGAAGCCCATCTTTTGAGTAGAACTGACATCCATCTAGTATCATAATTACGTAATCTTTGTCCTTTCCAACAAAGAAACACGTAATGTCAAGAAATAATTTTTTGTAAATGTCATCAGGTAAAGAATCGTAACTTATTTTAAGTTTTTGAAGGATTTCCTTGTCTGGAATGACTTCTAACCTCTTCACTGTGCTTTCCCAGACATCTATGCTTTTCCCAGATAAGGAAGAACCCACCACTTTGAGAGCTAAAGGAACCCCACAACAGTAGCACGCTACCTTTCTTGATTGCTCAACTTGACCTTCAAATGGATTATTTGCCCAAAGGCATGCAAATTGAAAAGCATAAATGATTCTTCAGCATTACGTTTCTTAACCTCTTGCACCATGAAATCTTTGTGAGCCTCTATGAGTTGTTTTTGTCTAGTGGTTATGATTATTTTACTTCCAGGGTGAAACCAATCCCAAGTTCCTAGTACTGCATATAACTGGTCCATTTCATCCACATCATCAAGAACAATAAGAACTCTTTTCCAGCAAATGTTCTCTTTAATTTTAGTGATTCCTTCAACAACAGTCCAAATTTTTTCCCTTTTCCTTTTTAATATGTCAGAGAGAAGTTGCATTTGCAAACGAACTAGCCCATTAGGCTCTTCAGAAGCTAATTTGATGTTTGCAAGAAAGCTGCTACCTTCGAATCTTCCAAAGTGTAAATTATAAACATATTTTGCAATAGTTGTCTTTCCTGTCCCACCCATCCCACATAATATGAAAATATTTTTGTCAGCTGATCTATCTTGTAACCACAAATTGATGTCTTTGACTCGAGAATGTATTCCAATTATGTCTTGGGGAACACTTAAGCTTGTGCGACTCAGGCTGTTGCTAAGCACTTCAACAATTTCCTAGATAAATTCTGACTCGTCCCTACATGTTTTGATATGAATGAAATATAAATCACAACAAGAACGTCAAATTAGAAAGAAATACAAACTCCTATGCGAAATGTTAAAAAACACAATGGCTAAATTATGCAAAAGATGGTATGAATACAGATGCGACAGAATTAGATTTTTAACTAGCACTATATAAAGATACACAAGAAAGAACAAATACATCCATCGTATACTCAACAACTGTAACTATTTTGAAAGAGCAATTGGGCGACAAGGTTCTTATACTTCAGAATTGCATTATAAATTCTTCAAACTGCAAATTTGAATAACCCAAACCAAATAGGTATTTAAAAATTAGTAATCCAAACCAAACATTTAATCAAGAAATTTGTCATAAACCTTCATTTTAGAGATGCTATGACTTACAAAACCACTATTCACATTGTAATAAAATTCTAGGTTCTTTTTTTTTTTGGGTAAAATATGTTTCCATGTTTTCAACTTCAACAGTTGGGACTAGAATATTCCATATCAAAGACAAATTTGAATGGTGGAAAAAGATCCACCCAGTCGACTCCAAATAATTAGGACAAGATTTTCTTTGGTTTGATAACTTGGTTTAAACCCATATATGACATACAAAAAGTAAATCAAAAAGCATGGGGCCACTTCTTTCCCCATTTCTTTGGTTGCATCAAAACTAGTTTGACTAATTCTTCAAATTTTTTTGAAAAATATATTTTTAATCAGAAGTTCTTAAATATTGAAACTTTTAAGGATAGTATTAATGGAGTTGTGTTACATTTCTATCCAACATCAATACAGCCATCTGATTGGTTTGAGTGACGTAGTGCCTAAAAAGGAGTATGAGGAGCTTACTCATCTTTCAATACCATCCCTGCCAAAGCACTGGCCTTCTCTAAGAGTTTCCTTCCACCTTTTTATCTTGGCCATAGCATCCTTTTTCCATTCAGCTGTCTCTGTCTTGAGCTGTTTTTTATTTCTTGCAAATGCTTTTGCAAAGCTACCTGTCTGTCTTCTGACATGTGAAGGATCCACATGGTAGAATATGGGAAGAATTTTACAACCAACAGTATTCTTGTGTTCCATCAATCAAATCCTTCTTTTTTCTGTTATGATTAATTTGTTCAATCTATAGATCAAATTTGATAAACGATTCAAAAATTATCTGATTGTTCATTATAGAGCATAGCGTCCTTGACATACATCATTTAAAAGTGGCGTAAGAACTAGTGGAGCCAGGTAAGGACCAGGAGAGAAAAAAATAATAATAATGTTGTTTGGGTGTGGGGGTGGGGGTGGTCATTCCCATGGTACAAAATGGGCAAGTAATTAATTGGACATTCAAAATTTTCTATTCAAGAGCAACAAAGGTCATCCGAGATGCATCCTGTAAGCTGTATTTCCTGAAGACGCAATACAAAAGGAGTGAGAACGCTAGGACTCTTAACTCTTCTACGAAGATTGACGAACTAGATTGAACAGAGTGAACCAACTTGACCGGCAGCTGCTTTTCGTATCCTCCTTGTCACAGAACTTCAAGATATAAGTATGTGTCCACGTAATAAAGATAATTTAATTCAAATATCAAAATATAAATAAAATAATTTTTATTTTTTGGGGTTGAGATCTTTTTAATTTTACTTTAAAATTAATCCAATGATTAATATTAACACTCTAAATTTAATAAAAAAAAGTAGAGCCCTAATAATGTGTTTGAAATAATTTTTTAAAAGTGCTTATAAGACTTATAACTTTTCATAAGTATTTTTTTTTAAAAAATAGTATTTGAAACTAATCCACTACAACCACTACCCTCACGATCCCCACCATCCCCACCACCATCACCACTACAACTACCACCGTCACTTAACCACCACAACTATTAAAAGGTAAACAAAATAATTTTTATTTTTCATACTTAAGATTTCTTTAAATTTTATCTGACGGTTAATATTAACACCTTAAATTTAATAAGAAAAGTAGGCCTCTAAAGGTGCGTTTAGAGTAACTTTTTAAAAGTACTTATAGGACTTATAACTTTTCATAAATATTTTTTTTTTTTAAAATAGTGTTTGGAATTGTCCCACCACCACCACCACCACCCCCACTACCATCACCACCATCATTATCACTATCACTATCACCGTTACCCCACTGCCATCCCCCAACCGCTCCACTAT